GAACGTCGCACTGGGTCGGGCTGTGTGGTTCTTGCTTTGGGAATGGACGGCTGTGACCACACTTCATGGATTTGTCCAAAGTCACTGGGGTCACACATCAATGCCACCTACCGTCCCTGGTGACAAACAGAACCCTCCACTGTGCTGCTTCCTAATTTTCTCGTGTAAATACTTTCCTCGAATGTCGAAAGTGGCTGTGCAGGGGTTGTGGTTTACAACTGATAATCAGGGTAGTTCTCTTAATGACGAAGTTCACCCTGGTGCTAAAGGAGCAACTAGGGCTCCGGAGCCCTCCGGCCGGGGAAGGACCCGATGCTCCCGGACAGGGCCGGGGCAGAGTGCGCGGCTTCTGACCTGGAGACCTGGCCGGGCCTCACCCACAGAGCAGTGCGGAGACGCTCCTGCTGACCGGCCCCCGGAACGTGGCACCAAGAGCCTGAGCCAGGAGAGTGAAGGACTCCCTGAGGCGCCCAAGCCCACCGGACGAGGACCACTGACCGACCACCTGCAGACGCCAATAAGGGTCAAGTAGGCCGCTAGGGTGACTGTTCACTTTCCGAGCCTGGAATCCATTTTCTACGTAGGATCATGACCACCCCCCAGATTTGCTTTCACCACCACCCGCCCAGACCCCATGCCGCACATCGGGATGGAGAAGAAGCTCATCTCCGTCCCTCCCCGGAGAAGGACATGACGGTTGGGACTGTCCTTCAAGACAGTCTCCCAATGCAGGCAGCGAATCTCAGAGAGACCAGGGCCATGAACACAGCCGGAAACCACGGGAATCCTGAGAAAATGTGGGCATCGCAAGCGATACTGCGACACAGAGCTGCACGGACCAGGGGCAGAACCAGCAGCAGACAAACGCCTTTGTCCCAGAGCCCAGGTCTGTCGCTCGATCTGCACCTTCCCAGTGGCCGCGGCTCCCGCCCTGACTGCGCATCAGCGTTTGGAGCAGTGACTGCACCTCCAGTGGGGACGCCCCCGGACATTCCCTGGAGGCCCCCGGACACCCCCGCACGCCCCCGGATGCTCCCAGGACGCCCCAGGATGCCTCCGGACGCCCCTCCTATCCTCCGAACACCCTGCACCTTCAGCGCTAACGCCCACTTCACGCTTTCTCCTCAAGCCAGTGCCCGTTCCCAGGCCACCCCCACACGTCCCTGCACCTGGGCTATCTATGGAAAGGACACTGGGGAACAGGCCGTTTGGGGTTCACTCTGGTTTTCGGAAAGCAGCCAGGCATCCTCTAAGCTCACCTGAGCGCGGGCTGGGCTGTCTGCACAGGGACGGTCCTGTGCTGGGTCGGAGCCACAGTAGGAGATCTCGTCCTGAGATCCCGGGGCAGGAGGCCCCCTGATGCCCAGGGCGGGCAGTGTGAAGCTGGTGGTCACATGACTGTGACCTGAGCCTGTCACTGTCCCCCCCGAGCTGTGACAGACCAGAAGGTGTGGTGCCAGGGCCCTTGAACAAGAGTAGGAGACCCTCCAAATGCTCACCCCTCTCAGCTCTTACATTAGGCTGAGTCCCTCCACGTTTAACGTGAGGTCACCCGAATGTAATGTCATCATACACTTTTGGAGGAAAAGAAAGAGAAAATGTGAAGGTGAGGATATTCGAGGTGAAATTTCATCCTTGTCATGGTTCCCTGATCCTCACAGAGGGAGCTCTTAAAACTGGGGCGACCATGGTGTCCGAATTCACCCTCAGTCTGCTGGTGTTTAAAACAAACCTCCTGCCGTGAAGCCACCACTGTGTCTGTGGCTCCTCGTGTTGTGAACAGCAGAGTGTGAATAAGTGAGGTGAGGGCAGGAGCCGGAGACCTTCTCCTCAGCACACCCAGCAGCTCAGGGCCGAGCCTCCCTGGGGCCGGAAACAGTCCAGGTCAGGAAGGGAGGTGCCGGGCCAGGTGGACACACACTGAAGTCTGCAGAGCTCCGAGTCCTGGTGCCCAAGTTCAGGGTGAGCGTGGACCCCGAATCCATGCCCACGAGGTCACACTCCCACTGCGGGGAGGGTGGGCGTCGTGTCCCCTCTGTTGCGGGGCTCGGACACCGACATGGAGTCCCCGGCCCACTCGCATCTCAGTAAACTCCAGGTACCTTCCTGCATCCTCGGTGGTCACACAGAGAAGGTGAAACAGCATCTGGGACCCTGACGTGGGGAACCTGATCCATGACCACGTCCCGCCCAGGAGCCCCGAGTCTCAACATTTCCTGAGAGCAAACAGACTTAAAACGATCACTTTGACTGCAATACCTGAGCCAGAGTCTGTGGCAACCACCACACGTCACCACACCGCTGCTGGGACAAGCCTCCCTCGCGATCTGAAACGCCACTTTTATCATGAACGAGATCCCGATACAGATTCGTGTCTATGTCTGGACTATTTCAGTCTGCTTGGTACCAAACCTGTTGGTATTTAATGGGAACTGCCTTGAGTTTATGAGTTAATTTGAGAACTGGAATTTTTACATTCAGTCTCCTAAAAGAGGTACTTAATTCTCTCTCATGGCTGTCGGTGGGAGATACAATCTTTTCATGTACGTCCTAAGCTTGTCTGTTTCAGTTTACAGCTACACAGTTCCCTTTGGAGTTGCTATTGTGAATGGGACTAACTATTTGGTGTGTAAGTGTGAGTGTGTGTGTAAATAACAAGGACGTAGGTGTTTTCTCAAATGCACAATTAAAACTGAACAGCACTTGGCTGTCATTGAGCTGACACATGTGTAAAAATGTCGTTTGGACAACACTGTCATGTGAAACAGACAAACAAAAGGACGTGGTTTATTCCACTTTGCACTGCTGTTTCCTGGCGGACACGAGCTGTGACTGGAGCAGCAGTGACAAGGCCTCTGTTCACTCCCGGCCCCACTGGGGGAGCCCCATTTCCCCCCACGGAGCTCCAGCTAAACTCTGCTTTCCCCCAAACCATCCCTGTTCAGCCTGGCGGCTGCATTCACAAGCACGGCACCTGCCCAGGGGCTGGTCACGCAGGCTGTGCAGCCACAGCCGTGGAGGTGGGCTCTGCACAAACCACGGCCACGCTGCAGAGAGCCGTCAGACAGGGCGATGCAGCGGGGTCAGAAAAGGCTTCGGTTTCTCTCTCCCTTCATCCCAGTTCTTTGGAACGGTTCAATCAAAAGAGAAACTGAAAACAACTTCATAAACCCAGACAAGGGATCAGCAAACTTGTGCAGGATCCGTGGGCCAGGGGGCACCTGTGGCAGCTGCCCTGCTGCTGTGTGAGATCCTCCCGGACGGGAGCTCCGGAGTCTGGCTCTGTCCTCCGGAAACTACTCACAGAGCAGACAGTGGCCGGCCTGGGTTTGCAGACACACTGGGCCCTGGCTCAGCTTCCAGACCCTTATAGACCAGTCAACTTCCCAGCTATTCAATAGGTTTTTGAAAAATTGAAGCAATGGACTTGTCCCCACAGAGGTAAGGATGATAGGCTGCCAAGCACTCAATGAACAACATGTAGGAAAATCACCAAAATCATTTCCGATCCACCCCAGTATTGTTGAGTATTGTTGCTGTTGGTTGCTATGCAGGATGAGTGGGATGAGAGTGAGAAACAGGTTACATTGTGACAGCTGGGATGAGTGTGAGAAACAGGTTACATTGTGACGGCTGGGATGAGAGTGAGAAACAGGTTACATTGTGACAGCTGGGATGAGTGTAAGAAACAGGTTACATTGTGACGGCTGGGATGAGAGTGAGAAACGGGTTACATTGTGACGGCTGGGATGAGAGTGAGAAACGGGTTACATTGTGACGGCTGGGATGAGAGTGAGAAACGGGTTACATTGTGACGGCTGGGATGAGAGTGAGAAACAGGTTACATTATGACGGCTGGGATGAGAGTGAGAAACGGGTTACATTGTGACGGCTGGGATGAGAGTGAGAAACGGGTTACATTGTGACGGCTGGGGTGAGAGTGAGAAACAGGTTACATTGTGACGGCTGAAATGAGTGTAAGAACAGGTTACATTGTAATGGCTGGATGAGAGTGAGAAACAGGTTACATTGTGACAGCTGGGATGAGAGTGAGAAACAGGTTACATTGTGATGGCTGGGATGAGTGTAAGAACAGGTTACATTGTGACGGCTGGATGAGAGTGAGAAACAGGTTACATTGTGACGGCTGGATGAGAGTGAGAAACGGGTTACATTGTGACGGCTGGATGAGAGTGAGAAACAGGTTACATTGTGACGGCTGGGATGAGAGTGAGAAACAGGTTACATTGTGATGGCTGGGATGAGTGTAAGAACAGGTTACATTGTAACGGCTGGATGAGAGTGAGAAACAGGTTACATTGTGACGGCTGGGATGAGAGTGAGAAACAGGTTACATTGTGACGGCTGGATGAGAGTGAGAAACAGGTTACATTGTGACGGCTGGGATGAGAGTGAGAAACAGGTTACATTGTGACGGCTGGATGAGAGTGAGAAACAGGTTACATTGTAACGGCTGGATGAGAGTGAGAAACAGGTTACATTGTGACGGCTGGGATGAGAGTGAGAAACAGGTTACATTGTGACGGCTGGGATGAGAGTGAGAAACAGGTTACATTGTGACGGCTGGATGAGAGTGAGAAACAGGTTACATTGTGACGGCTGGGATGAGAGTGAGAAACAGGTTACATTGTGACGGCTGGGATGAGAGTGTAAGAAACAGGTTACATTGTGACGGCTGGGATGAGAGTGTAAGAAACAGGTTACATTGTGACAGCTGGGATGAGAGTAAGAAACAGGTTACATTGTGACGGCTGGGATGAGAGTGTAAGAAACAGGTTACATTGTGACAGCTGGGATGAGAGTAAGAAACAGGTTACATTGTGACGGCTGGGATGAGAGTGAGAAACAGGTTACATTGTGACGGCTGGGATGAGAGTGTAAGAAACAGGTTACATTGTGACGGCTGCCATTCAAACCTGAGGAGGGGCAGCCTCAAGTGAGACCGTCCCTCTCAGAGACGGTGCTCAGTGCTCACTCACCAGTCCTGGACAGCGCTGAAGGACTCCTCGTTCGTGATGTCGTACATCAGGATGAAGCCCATGGCCCCGCGGTAGTAGGCTGTGGTGATGGTCCGGTACCTTTCCTGGCCTGCCGTGTCCTGGAAATACAGTGATGGTCTCTTTAAGAGTCAGACAGCACATCTTTTGGACAGTGACTGATGATCCCAAGAGCAGGCAGAACAGTCTGACTGTACCCGTGTGCACAGCTGCTTTAGTCTGTTTTCCCGATCGTGTTCCTATGGCAGCTCTGCAAGTTATGAAAACTCTTTTTTCTAAAGATCCAGCTCAAAGTGCCTTCTACATGTTTCATTCCCATCAAGCAGCATCACAGTATAAAAAATAAAAAGGAAAGAAATGTTATGCACATCGAAATTTGTGGCGATCTGAACAGTTTAAAACCAGAAGAACATGTCAACTCCACACACGAGTTCACTGTCCACTGAGCAGAAGTCACTGTGGGGAAAGCTGGGTTTATGGAAAGTTCTCTGCGTTGAGAAGCAGGCAGTTTAGTCTCAGTTTCTTCAACTGTCCAGTGAGATTAAAAACACCTTCTCCCGAGGACACCTGAGTCAGACAGGCCTGGAGCTCCGGCTTGTCCCGGCCAGTCTGGCCGCTTGCTGGGGCTGCAGGACATGATGCATGGCAAGAGCCCGGCACAGAATGTGATCAGCAAGCAGCAAACGCTGGCTGTTGTTCCTGCACATGGGGCGGCCGGCCGACAGGTGGGAGAGAGACAGCAGCTCACAGCCCAGTCTGGGCACCAAGCAGCCTGTGTCTGTCACCGACAGTGTCATGTAGCTCGAGAAACTATTCCTCAACTCAACCAGCTCCGTGGGGTCTGGGACGTCCTTGGTTGGCCCTTCACCCTGGAGACAGGCTCTATCAGACTCGGTTTATACAGTTAAAAATAAAATGTTTTATCAGAGGAAATAATTCAAGGCAAAAACAAAAACAAAACCGCCAAACTTCAGGCTGAAACTGTTCCTCGCTACTAGTTATCAAGCTACTATGATTTCCACTCCCCAGTTCCTGCCCCATGATTTGCACAGAAGTGTTTTCTTCACCTGATTTCAGTCTGGATCCTCCTTCTCCCCTCCTCCTAGCACAGGGTGCACCCCAAGTGCCCTGGGAGTGAAGAGGCCTTCGAGGAAAAGCTACTTAGGGGCCGCGATGGGCACATGTGAACCAAAGGACTTAGGTGCACCACCAGTGACACAGACAACAGGGTGGTGAAGGGGGGTTGGGGAGGAGGGGTCAGTGGGAGAAAGGGGGGGCATCTGTAATACTTTCAACAATAAAGATAAATTGTTTAAAGAAAAGAAAACAGACACAGGCACACGGAGGCCTCATGATGGCAGAGATTCGGCGGTGCAGCCGCAGGCCAGGGACGGCCGGCAGCCGCCAGAGGCTGGGACAGAGAGCAGGCCCTGCGGGCACCTCAACCTGGGACTTCTCGCTTCCAGACTGCGGGTCCATGATGTCTGCAGTTTTATGCCACCTGGTCTGCGACACTTCATTACAGCAACCCTGGGACCCAGTTCACAATCAGGGCAAAAGCATTTGAACTTCCAGCTACCCACACAGCCACTCAGTATGTAACAGAAGAGAAAATGCAGACAATTCATGGCAGTTTGTGAAAAGTCTAATACAGTCACCCTCTGTGAATTTATGAAGGATGCTATGCTGAAATACATCCATATTCCATTTATGTGACAGTGATTCTATTCAGAAAAGGGGAGGTGATACACCCCATTGTTTCAAAGGGTGTCTAACCACGTGTGCATGTCCATGTAGGTGGATGTATGCACACACAGGTATACGCATGCACGCAGCTGTGGCTATCAGACAGAGTGACCTGCTTCCTCTCGGAGTTTCACCCCTGACAACTGGGCTGCTATCACAGAAACCACACCACGGTGGACGCTGACCTCCACCACAGCTGCACAGCTAAGTGCTGACCAGCATCCGCCTCTTTTGCAAGACGACACTGTCCCCCAAGGTGCATTTTTCACCTCCATAAACAGGCAGGCACTGAACACAGTCGTATAAAAGTAGAAAGCTAAGCAGGATGCTTAAATATTTTATGCGTTCTTATTGCACATTTATTTTTGGAATGAAATAAGAACTTTTTCCTACAGCAGTTAATCTTCCCTGAAAACTGACAGACCCGCGTCCCCGCTGAGCTTGTGCGAACAGGCTGCCGCCGTCCGCATGCTGCAGGAGCACAGGCCGTGGGAGTCAGGTCCACACTCTGCAAAAGACTGTCAGTGTGGGCCCTGAGCAGGTCTGCGGTCGTGTGGGAGCCCCCGGCCTGTCTCCCTGCTTCGCACATCGCACCACACAGCGTCTTGCCCGGACTTTCTCAGCGAGATGAGCTTTGAAATGCCTGGCTCTTCATTTTACAGCGGCATCCACCTCTGACAAAAACCTAACGAAACAGGCCCGAGGCACAAGGATAAAACGTGACCCGTTATTTCTCGCAGTGTTACCATGGCGATCCCTCTCTCCGGAGGAGAGGCCGGCAGACAGCTCTTTCGCACGCCGTTGACCCCACTGCCCGCGAGACCCTGACGACTGTGCTTCCGCTCAGGGCAGCTGGAGACGTGTGCAGTGAGCATCACCCACGCACTCAGAGAGCCGCCTCCGGGACCTCAGCATGCTGTGCAGCCGGACTTGGGGAGGCGTCTCCGCTCTCTTAGGAGCGTGTCCGCTGAGAATGATCACACGGACAGAGAAAGGTGGCACTCTGCTTTCTTGATGATTAATCTCTTTGACATACTTCTTCCCAGGGGGGTTTCGATCACCCTCAGCTTCTCAAGGCCTGGGCACAGACACTTGGCCAAACAGAGCTTTGCATCAAGGCCGGTCTCTGTCCCCTCACCGACTGCGACTCAGACGCACACAGATCACAGGCTCTGCGCTGGACAGTCCAGGCCGCAGCCCCTGCACTGAGATGCTGCCATCAGCCCCTCTGGGGGCCGCATCCTGGCTGAGCTGTTCCATCCGGGCAAGAGGAAGCTGAGGGGCGTCAGAGGGAAGGAGGCTGAGCAAACCCTTGGTGTGAAGGTTGGGTGCTGTGGGGAGCCCTTAGGGACCCCCGAACGTCCTGGGATCCAGGACTGTGCCCGTCCTGGGCTGCACCCCTCCTGGGCTGTGCCCGCGAAGGACTTTCGCCCGGGGTTCATTAAGCTCAGAAGTTGTAACGTCCTGTACACTGTGATGCCACAAACGTCTTTCTGATGGAACAAGGAAAGTGACTCTTTTTACTAAGTCTTCATTCAGGACAGGACAGGACTTCCGGGGGAAGTGGGGCCAGACCTGGGCTGCCATGGACGTCCTGCTTTGGGGAGGGGCTGAGTGTGGGTGGGGGGAGCAGAGCAGGGTGGGAGGGGCCTGTCGGCCTTTTAACCGGGTTCCTGTGGCTGCTACTTTTGACAGAGAGAAAATCCCACCACAGAACCAAAGAAAACGAAATGTAAAATGAGGCCAACCTCATTTAAAACTTGATAAAGCCAGATCTACAGACTTCATTCCACCTGAATTCTATTTAGGAATTAAATCTTCTGCTAAGTCAGAAGAAGAAAAGTTCTGGGAGTCCTGCGAGCAGACGGGCGTCCAGATCCGACGCAGGGAAGCGGGGCGCCGGCCGTGAGCCCAGAGACGCCGCCTCCTGGACTGAGACGGACAGAGGACGTCGGCGGAGAAACACCATGAAACACCACCTTCGGTCCTTATTCTTCACAGCAGGAAGGCACCGAGGTCAGCGCTTTGCAAACAGACGAGGAGACTCGACGGTTCACCACCGGCGGCCCGCGGAAGCTTTTCCCACGTCTGAGTTTCACGGGCGGCGTCTGCGGCCGGAGGGGCCTGGAAGCGCAGAGCTCCGGCCACGGCTCAGGTTTCCTTTCGGGGAACGTGCGTGTGTGGGCGGCGCCAGCCCCCGTATCCACCCGCCTGGCGGAGCCGTCAGCAGTCAGCGCGGACAGACGCACCTGCTGACCCTGCGCCCGCAGGGAGACAGACCGCGAGGGCGCCCCGGCCGCACCACCGGCCGCACCACCTGCCGCACGGGGTCGGGCTGGTCCCCCCTGTTCTTCACTCTGCCAGCTCCCTGCTGGCGGGAGTCACTGGGCTGAGAGGCAGGGAGGGAGCGGGGAGGCCGGGTGTGCACAGACCACCACCCCGCGGAGCAGACCCGTGAGCGTCTCCGCACCCAGAGACTGAGCTGCCGAGGAGCCGACAGAGGCCGGGGTGTCTTCCCTTCGGGACGTAAGAGCAACAGGTCTGATGCTGCTGCTTCTTCATAAATTGTATTTGGGGACTTACCCTAGTGCCGTGCTCTCCCAGCTCACCCTCAGAGGGCCTGGCGGTGGGGTACGGGACCTCCGAGCACCCTGCTCCTTCTGAGGCTGGTGGCCGGCGGGTGCTGGGTGAGCGGCCAGCGGGGGCGGGGGTGGGAGGACCTGGGTCCCATTCTGGCTCCATCACTGGCTCGTGCACCCCCTGCACCGTCTCCACTGCACGATGGCGGTGGCGAGACCACCTCCCACGGACGTCACGGAGACTGGGTGAGTGACACAGGCCGTCTCTTTGGACACAGGAAATGTACACATCAGTCACTCCCAGCCGCTCTGCCTTTTCTGATGTGTCTTGTTGTCAATTTTCGTGTTTATGGTTTGGGCTGACAGTCTGCACCACAGAAATTCATGTGTATATTATATATAACACGTGTGCTTTTATATATATCACATATATATTCATTGGTGCAACAGGCCTAGTTTTTGGGTGTCATTTTTTTTCGGAGATGACTACAAACCACTATTGATCACAGTCTCTTACATAAAACCGTGAGCAGCCAAGGAGTGAAGATGTCTTATAAGTTGTCATTCTTTGCTAAAATACTCTCTTTTTCCTAAAATGGAAATGAGATCATTGCTATGGTCTCCAGTCTCCTGAAGCTGACAGAAACCTCTGGGTCTTAACACGTCTTCCTGCCAGAGACCGGCTCCCGCAGGGGGTGTCCGAGGCCAGGAAGGACAAGTGGACACAAGCAGAGAAAACAGAACCTGCTGCAGGAAGAATGGCAGAGGAATAATGA